AAAATCTCCACAAAGGCCAGGAATGGGCTGTGCCGTCAAGTCGACGTCCATGTTGTATTGGAATGGAACAAGTGGAACAGGGCGGTCATCGATAGGAGAGCTGTCAAAAAAATGAAAAAACTAATGTTACCTATGTATGCAAGGGTTTGAGTGGAGTTTTCGACCTCACAGATTAAATTAKATGATATAGGGAACTATCCTTTCTCTCTCGGAAAGCATACGGCTAATACTGTCTCACGTGATTTTGTTCAAGATCGAAGATTCCTGATGAAATCCTAAAACTTTCCCGATTGAAAATATAACAATGTTCTGTTCTGATGAGTATGGATCGTAACATCTTTTGTATTACATACAGCATGGTTTAAAAGCTTATCAGTGTAGATTCTATCTGTAGACTTTCTAAATGGTCAATTTTTAGTAATAAATACAATATGAGCGGGCGATCTGTATGAGGATTTAAAACAGCGAGCTGAAAGCGAGCTGTTTTAAATCCTCATACAGATCGCACGCGAATATTGTATATTACTTATGAAACGTTAAGGTAAATTAGCTCAGGTTTTAAAGAAACTTTTGAAAAAAAATTCAATCTGACTGAGAAAATCAGAGTAAAAGTTTATGCAAATGAACAAGAAATCTKTATGTAATATACAACTCTCTTCATGGGCTATGATTTCTATTATGTTTTGCCTTATGAATATTAATGAGTTTTATAATGCTTATTAAGCGGGCTGACCTTTCTTTGGTTTTCGGTAGGGGACACAACAATAGAAATAGGACCGGTCATCTCGGCCAGACTGCTTCATGTGATCAAGTCCTCATTAATGTACACCTAATTACGAAAACGTTGTCCTGAGATTTAGGAAATTAGGAATACATTAACAAGAAAAGCTGAAGCTGAACCCTTTCTTGTATATTCAATTAATTCCTAATATAATAAGCAAAGTACTTGTTATTGGTCAATGTTTGTGTAATTTGGTGTAATATTAATGTAGCTACATTAAATTCAGCAATATACCTTTGCCCTCCACCAATCGGTCTGATGAGRTCATTGAGTGGTTTWGGATTWCTGCATTCAACGTTTTTCYTGTTCAAAGACTCAATCTGCAAGCATCCGTTGGCTCTACCAGGTTGAGTGAAGTACACTTGRGTTTTGCCAATATCTCCTGGTTTGGTACGCTTGAAAATGACTCTGCCAGTGTACTTATGATTACCCTGTTCATCTCTCATATAGATAACTAGTGTTTGCGTCTCTTGGTTGTATACCACATCTGTTTCTGTGAGCTTTTGGTACGCCCAAGGACTAGAGTTTGGAACCTTCGAAGCGAGAAACACATTACCAAAGTCTTCTGAATCATCGGTGATGGTATGTGTGAAGTCCTTTGATTTYCTCTCGTTAAAGACAAAGATGACATAGTTGTTTCGCCCACCATCGCTTTTAACTATGCCATCTTTTACGTCAAACAGTGAAACTTCGTCATCAAATGGAGATCCTAAAATCCAAAACACGCTTATTTAAAAATTTAAATTTACCGAGGATAACTTTTTATTAATCTGYTTTGCTTTAGGTTCTTTATATAAAGGGTATAGATCTCTGCCGGAAATTATATGACGGCTATGAAAGGTGAATAGCTCTATCCACCAGATAATAATAATGGATATGAACTCATACTTTTGTTYATCATTCATAAAACCGACCTGAGCTCTATAAACAGAACGGCTGGCCGCAACTAAGTCAACAAACAACATGATGAAAGTATTTGCCTTTGTTGCCAGTACGCTCCTAATGTTCAGTGATATTTGTACCTTTGTTGAGTCGACGCCATCGCAAAAGGCTGAACCTAATTAAAGTGATATCAATCACCATAAAGTAAAGTAATGTTTACATACCATAAAGAACATTGACATCTTTGATTTCACCAATCCCAAACTTCTTTATTTCATTTGAGCTTTCGGATTCTTTCAGCTTGAAGTAAAGTGATCCCCAATCCGTATGCATACTGTACGTTATTCCAGCAAATATTTTGTATCTGTCCTGGTTGCTAGGACTCTCAGGAAACTTCTTTCGGTCAGGGTTCATGCCTTGGAAAGACAACGTATTCACCCCACTGCCCAATTCAGCCTGGAAACCTCCCT